CTGAGTGATTATATTGTAAACTTTAGTCAAAGTTATCTCAGTGGGTCTCAAACTGTTTGGTCTAAACAAATATTTCCATCTATTTAATATAGTTGTTCAAAATAAGTTAAAAAATAATTCCAATGTCAGTAAAAAATTAAAAACACAGTTTGAAAGGGGAGTGATTAGTAAAATATGTATAAATAAAAAGAAAGAATGCAGACTAGGTAAGATAAAGATAGGAGTTTATCAATGATGTGTTATTGGTTGTGAGCATATTCTAATGGTTTTTGGAGTATTTAAATATATACAGTTCTGTTTCATATGAGTGTTGAGAGCTGTATCCATAAATCTCTTAATTTGTGCACCAGATCGATGCCTTTAACTTCAATTTAAAGAAAAAAATCGTACCGGGGGTGCATGCCCCCGGACCCCCCTATAGGATGTGAGGTCATCACTAATAAAACAGGTTCATGGATAGATAAGTTTGCACACTCATTATATACACTACACATTTTTCTCGGCCTTTTTAACACCATGGTCCCTAATATATATTTGTAGAAAGGCAGAAAATGGAATTAAATCGAGAACAATGTTTCCTTGCGGAGGACCCCCTGTTTTGTGTCCCCCCCACTTCTCAAACCAAAGTTACACCCTTGCTTAGTCTTGTTGAACTCCAATGCATTTTGTGCACGGTTGGTGTTTTTTCACTTGTAATGTTTCAGTATAATACATGAACTCTCTATCCAACTTTAGATCTGTTAGTAATACAATTTCGGATACTTTATTGGGGTGCCCCATTTCTCCGTTATGTCTCATGATTGAAGTTGTATTTTTAAACTGTTTGTAAATAATGAACTGAATTTAAATGTATCTAGAAATCAAATATCAATTTTGCACACTCGCAAATTCACATATTTTTTCGTTATCAGACAAGTTTGGTACAGTGGTTTGTAAGGAAGAACAAGAATGTCAATGGTTGTGATAATCTGAGGTTATTTGGGAAAAATTGAGGAGGAGAAGAGCCGTGTCTCCTGTACGTGAAATTTGAAGATGCCTAGCAGGTTTGATTTGGTTTAAATGGTGTGGTTTGCTTATCCGAATTCTTTACTTAAATTTCATCCATAAAGAGAAAGGACGATGCAGGTAATTATGGTAAGTTTCTACTGCCTGAAAAACCCTAGGAGAAACCCTGCTACTGTAACACTGATACATACTCTGTTTGCATTGTAGTAGAGGACCACCAGGTAGCGGTTGCAGACGTTGAAACCCGACAGATGGTCGCAGGCGTTCTTGGCGTCGAAGATGTCTTCATAAACCACGTAAGATGTTCCTCGTGATTCAGGTGTGTTCCCTCTGAGAAGGGAGAAAGAGTAGAAACACAAGAGTAGTGAAAATTAAACCATCATGTGCAGATTCCCACTGGCATGAAGGGAAAATAAGTGGTACATAACTAATGTAAAATGTTGTAAATAATCTAATGACATACTCTGCAACCTAATCATAACAATCATACCTTGTATACATATAAGCAATTTAAAAAAGTATACTTAAATGAAATTAGTGAGATTTAAATTAGGTAAGGAATCAGATTGATAACAAACCAATACAAATTATAAAAATGTGAGTCTATCTGTGTCTATAAAAAGCAGCAGTAAAATATGTCAAAGCTTGAATTACCTAGTAATATTTTCTATGTATGTGTTTATTATATCTTACCTCATTTAAACCAATGACTTATTGAATACATTCAATGGTAACATTTAGTAGTTTAGGTTAGTTTTCCGTGTTAGAGTTTATAGTTTTTAATGTTTCTGTATAAAAACTTGAACCATCTCAAATTCTATATCCCATTTCACATATCTTCATTCTGTATTACGATAGTACTTATTACCATTATAATGGGAACCCACCGGTTAAAAAAATGTATGATATTGTATGCAAGAATAATAGTGAGATAGAATAGGAAAAAAATAGAATTGGGACGGATGAACCCTTTTAATGGTCACACATGCAGAGCAAACAGCACACACAGTGAAATGTGTTCTCTGCTTTTAACCCATCCTAGTACCAGGAGCAGAGGCCAGCTATTGCACAGCGCCCGGGGAGCAATGTGGGTGGGGGGGGGTGTCCGGTGCCTTGCTCAAGGGCTCCACGGCAGGGCAGGAGGTGAACTGGGACCTCTCCAAGTAGCAGTCCACACTCCATATTTTAGGTCTGGTCGGGGGCTTGAACCGGCAACCCTACAGCTCCCAGTCCAAGCCCCTACTGACTGAGCCACTGCCGGACAAGATGTGGCCTAATGTCCTATGTGCTCTTATATCTGTTGCATTGTCAATATTAATAATGATCACATTAAAGTACCTTCTTTTGCCATGGTGGCAATCAAAAATCCTGCTGAAAGCTACCTTGTATTTTAAACACTTACGTTCTGATTTGACGTATTGGTCCATATTTCCCAAAGATATCATACATTTCCTCAGCTGTGATCTTGTAGGGAAGGTTTCTGATGTACAGGATTCTGTTCACCTCAGGAGGTAATCGTATCTGAACCGCATAACAAGAAAAAACAGAGGAGTTAACGAAGATTTATATAATAGTTATAAAAGTAGAGAAGTAAAAGCTGATGTAATGACATTTAATAATTTAAAAACCGTCAAACTACTACTGAAGCAATGTCAACCCGCTCATAGTTAATCTTCTTAAGTTTCTCCTCTTGTACAACAGCTATTTTGCACAATTGTAATGTGTATAATATAATCCAATGTCTATACGTGTCTTTTTCTGTAGTATATTTCTGTTGCTTAATGAAATTGTCTTTTAAAGATTATTAAAATGTATTCAGTATTTTCTTTATATTGTTTATTATTTATTTTAGATCCTATAGTGACCTGTTTTTTCTACCGTGAATTTGTATATACATGCTGTTAATGTTTTATTATATTTGTATCTTATTCGCTCTTTGAAATATATGTTAGTCATGTGTAATGCAAATAACACCTCTGCTGTGACGAAATAATTTCTATATCAATTTATCGAATTGTAGAGTTTTGTAAGGTAAACATTATAAAGGAACCTGTA